GGCAGAGCAGCCCGACGTGGCGCCCGCAGGAGCCGGGCCACGCCCCCCATCGTGGGGGTGGGGACTCTGGGGCAGAGGACGGTTAAATAAAACACCCCATTAGCTGGGAGGGAAACGGAACATAAGAATTAAGATGTGTTCTGTCTATGTGCCAGCTCCCCACGACTATGTACTCATCGTGTACTGCACACATGCACTTAAAAAAATTAAAAATACACAGAAAAGAGAGTAAAATAAAATTCACCCCAATAGAAATGAGTTTAAATTTATAGACTGCTTGCCAAGTGTGGGGGCGCTCACTTGTAGTCCCAGCACTCTGGGAGGCTGAGGCAGGAAGATGGCAAGTTTGAGCCCAGTCTTAGCAATTCTGAGTCCCTTGTATGTGTGTGTGTGGGGGGGTGGGCTGGGGATATAACAGTGTGAAAGCCCTGGGTTAAGTCCCCTGTACAGCAGAATCAGTCAATTTCTAGAATACATCTGCATTTATAAAGATATGAGTATAAAAGTGGCAGCAGTGCATTTTAAAATTAGAAAATGGAACACTATCACTGAGCCCTCCCCCATCATCCCGACCATGCTGTGAGCCGGACTCGCTGTTCCTTCTGCAGGGCTGAAGAGGCCTCAGTGACAGGGCTGAGAGCCAGCAGCAGCCTAAGGACAGAGCCGTGGGTCCTCCAGGTATCTAGGCCTTGGAGGGACATCCAGAAGGGGCTGGAGGCCCGGGGTGGGAGAGGTCCCCTCTTGGGGACCCAGCCTTGAGTTCCACCACCTCAAGAGCAGGACACCAAACCTGGTGACCGCTGGCAGCAGGCAGAAGAGGGGTGTGTCTCTAGCTAGGGTGGGGGGTTTCCCAACATCTCTGTCTCCCCACTATGGGGCCCTGCTGCCCCTGCATTCCTCACCAGGGGGCTGGGTGATCCAAGAAGTGTCATTCAGCAGGGGTCCGGGAGGAACATTTAGCTGTGGCCCTGCAACTCTAACATTTGAGTTAAATATCAGAGGAAATGATAAAATGAATTTAAAGTTATGTTTGTTTGTTTTGAGACATGGTCTGTGTATCCCAGGCTGGCCTTGAAAAGATTATGTAGCCCAGTCTGCCCCTGAATTCTCAAGAATTTTGCTTCAGCCTCCTGGGTGCTAGGATTACAGGCATGCACTACCATTCCCTGCTAAAGTGGTATCTTTGAAGGGTTTTGATTTTTGTAATTCATTTTAGATATCTTTGAAGGGTTTTGTATTATTATTATTATTATTATTTTTGGTACTGAGGATGGAACTTGGGTCCTTGCACTTGGGAGGCAGGCGCTGGAACCATTGAGCTAAATCCCTGGCCTGGTTTTGTATTCATTTTAATGAAGAAAATCATACCAGCTGGGCCAAGGTTGGGGTTGGGTCTATGTTTTCCCTACATGAGTGGCACCTGTGGCTTATTCATCCACTTGTTGAGCAGTTCCTGGGTCCCCACGGGTTCCAGGCCGGGGCAGAAGATTCTGGAACACATGAAAATGAACAAAATCAATCCCTGCCTCTGGAGAAATCAAGCACACCATGGCCACTGGCATCTCCAGGAGGCCCAAGTCCCAGAAAGCGAGGACCACTGTAGCTGGGCCCTGTCACTCTTATCTCCTACACCTGGGTCTCACTCGCCGCTGCTTAACTCTGGCTCCCAGCAGCTTCAGGAATGGGGCTTTCAGGACACTTTCGGGGCCAACTCTCTGGACTGCCAGGTATTTGTGGTGGGTGTTGCTGCCCTAGGTTTCCTTGGCAGGGTTAGAGGACTTAACATTTTCTGATAAGAACATCTGTCATGCCATGTGTGGTGGTGCACGCCTGTGATCTCAGCACTCAGGAGGCTGAGGCAGCAGGATCACAATGAGTTTGAGGCATGCCTGGACTACTTAGTGAGACCCTGTCTCAAAAGTCAATCATCAATCAATCAATCAATCATTCAATCAATCTGCCAAGCAACACAGGGATTATAGAGGAAGAAAAGCAGGTGTACCCCACAGTAGAATTAAACTCAGGAAACTCTGTGCTGTATGAGAATTAAGAAGCCAGGGCATGTGTTGCTGGATAAATCAACACAGTGAGTTGGAATCGAAGTTGGGAGAGGTTGAAGCAAGGGAAAAAGTCCTGGTAATGCCCAAGGCAGAGCCCTGAAGGGAGCTTCCTCCTCTGTGGGAAGTCTCAGGGTGACCCAGCAAGTGGCCTGGCTCCCCTGTCCAACTCCTGCTTCTTTGTTTCTAGTTACTTTCCATACCTAACTCCTGAAAAGGATTTTATTTAAATAAACAATTCTTGCAAGCACAAGGGCCGGAGCTCAATCCCTAGTATAAAACAAAACAAAACAAAACAAAAACCCCCCCACAAAACAAATAAATAATTCTGGGGCTAAAAACAAAAGCCTGAAAACATTGACATGATGAAAACTGGAAGCACAGACTATTGGCTGAATTTTACTTTTTTTTGTGTGGTACCAGGGATCGAACTCAGGACCTTGCACTTGCCAGGCAGGTGTAACGCCACTGCGTTTCATCCCCAGCCCTGATCTTTACAAATTTGATAATGGTTTTTGTTTTTTGTTGTTGTTGTTTTGTTTTGGTAGTGGGTATCGAACTTAGGATCTTGTGCTTGCCAGGCAGGCCACAGGGGAACTACTGAGCTTAATCCCCAGCCCTGATAAAGTTTTTTGTTTGCTTTTGTTTTGTTTTGAGATAGAGACTTGTTATGTACACCCTTGGGCTGGCATTGAACACACTGAACTCTCGGTGAGTGTGCACCACCATGCCTGGCTATAAATTTGATAAAGATTCTAAAATATGAAACAGAAGAAGGGCGGGGGATTTAGCTCAGAGATGCACGCTTGTCTAAGCGCAAGGTCCTGAGTTCAATTTAGTACATCCCTCCACCCCCCAAAAAAGAAATGGAAGAGACAATTTCTTCAAATAATCTACCTAATTTCACCAGTGTGGACAAGGTTAGAAATCATGGTTTTGGCAGGGCATGGTGGCACACACTTTTAATCCCAGAACCAGGAAGACATGGTCTCAAAAACAAACCAACCTCCCCACCAAAAAAACCTAAACAATTCAATACAAAGAAGTCAGCATCCTGGGCAATAGATGATAACATGGATTTATTCCCTTACATGCATGGAAACTGATATCTTATAACTGACAAATATTATTAATAACTGATAAGAGTCAATGAGTTCCAAATTTTTATTGTCTAGAACTCAGAAATCCTTTTTAGTTAGGAAAAAAATAGAATCCAACAATGCTATCTTCACATGCCAGGAATTTTAAGTATAAGTCTGATATGTGATTATCTCCCACTAATGTGAACTAATCTTTCTGGTAAAATGAATACTCAAGCACATTTGGATTTGGTTAATGTTTATTACAAAATTCTGAAGAGCTGGCAGAGACTTAGACAAGAAATATGTGTCTATTTCTCTCCATATGCCTACTGTTTGAATTAAATATACTAGCGATTGTCTTTATTTGGCCTGGATAATGATTTGCTTTTTTAGCTGCATTCTGAAACCTCTGAGGTTGATTTATTTTTTGAGTTAGGGTTTTGCTATGTAGCCCAGGCTGGCCTTGAACGTGTGGAGATCCTCCTGCCTCAGCCTCCCATGTGGTAACATTCCAGGTGTGTGCCACAATGCCCAGTTGGGGTTAATTTTTTTACAAACTTATTTTAAGACTTTGTCTTGGTAAGAAATTGATTAGCTCAAGATAAGTTAGGTAACCACTGGGTTAAAGTGAGAAAGGGACAATAATTTTAATTGGATATTCAGTGTCATTAAATTTTTCAGGGGCTAAGAATGGGAGAACCAATTTAGCACCTTTACAAAACTAATCTGATTTTCAGTGATGACTACCAATCCAAGTAGCTAATTACATACATACAGGAACATTTTATCTTAGGCTGGCACACGCCTGTAATCCCAGCACTCAGGAAGCTGAGACAGAGGGATTGCTGTGAGTTTGAGGCCAACCTGGGTTGCACAGTGAGTTGAAGTCCAGCCTGAACTACACAGCGAGACCCTGTCTCACTCCCTCCACCATCCCAAATTGGTAAAAGAATAAAATTCAGGCTAGTGTGATGTCCTAGTCACCAAGGCACCAGCATCTAAGCCACTCTCGTGGGGTGAGCTGTGCTGCCCATCCCAAGGGGTCTGCTTCCAGCTGGGCCAACCCACACAGTCCTTGGGACAGCCAGAGCTGGGGTCAGAGAAACAACCTTTTGCCACAGTGGGTAACAACAAGTACTTAGGTTCCACATATTCAGGGTTCAAGTCTGACTTTGGGTTGATTGTTTACCTCTCGGAACTTTGTGGGTTAAAAGGGACATGGGCACCAATTTCAAAGCTTGTCACAAGATAAAATGAAAACATTTACTTTGTACAATTCCTGGAACATGGTAAGACTCGATGGATTATGGTGCTTGTTAGGGTTATCCTTCAAATTTAGATATCTGATTTCTTCTTTTTTTTCCTTTTGACACAAGGTCTTTCTATATAGTTCAGGCTGGGCTGAACTCGCCATGTAACCCAGCTTAGTCTCAAACTTGCAGTGATACTCCTGCTAGAGCCTTCCCAATGCTAGAAGACAGGCCCCCACACTGGGCACAGAGGTTTGAGTTCTTTTTTTTTGTTTGTTTGGTATGGGATCAAACTCAGGACCTTGTGCTTGCAAGGCAGATGCAGTGCCACTGAGCTAAATCCTGGGCCCAAGGTTGGATTTCAAAGTAAAAGTCTTCACGTAAAGTCACCATCTATAGTACTAGTCTAATTTTCTCTCTTTTGCCTTCCTTTATCCTTCCTTCCTGCCTTCTTATAAATTCTTTTAGCATGGAACCACTAGTTGCAGAAAGTTGAAATAAAAGATTCGGTTCTATCTTAATTAAAAATACTCATTTCAAGGAACCCACCTAGAAATGATCAATGCAGAACTGAATTTAAAGAAATTTTAATTAAGAAGTTTCCACCATGACTGGGAGGCAACTGGAAGCAAGGCTTCCCAGGCAGCAAAGCAGAGGCTGGCCTGACTCAGCGTTGCCTGGCAACAGGAGGGCTGTGTGAGCCCTTAATCTGAGGAGACCCATGTGGCCTCAGGAAAGGTCTCCTCCAGACACCTGGCTTTGCAGCTCCGATTCCAAGGTTAGGAAAGGTGGAAATGGCTTCTGCCTGATCCTCCCTGCAGCTGAGATCCCCCCGCCCCCACAAGCTCAGCTGGGAGGAAGCTGGGAAGTCACCAGATCCTAAGTGCTGTCAAAGCGGCCATGTTTTTAAAAATCCTTCATCTTCTCCATGGAGCCCAGTACAATGCACTGCACACAGTGGTGCATAATAAATGCAGTGTGAGAGTGTGTGTGTCTAGGACACTGATCATCCCTGAAGGCACCAGACCCGTGTCTTGCTCACACCTGTTGAGTCAGCTGAGATGACCTGAGAGCCCAGCTTTGTTCTCTGAATGTCTCCAGCTGTCAAATGGCAGGGCTAGCAGGGCGTGGTAGCACACAACTGTAACCCCAACACTCAGGAGGCCGAGGCAGGAGGATTGCAGTGAGTTTGAGGCCAGTTTGGGACACATAGCAAGACTTTGTCTTAAAAAACAAAACAAAAACTTAATTTCTCTTGACCCCTTCACAGAGCAGCTGAAGTCACCCTGAGTTTTCTCTGCAGAAGTCTTGGGACTTCCAATTCCGGGCCCAGGGAAGACTGAGGAGCACAGCCCTCCTCCATATGCAAAACACTTCCACTAACATCTCAGATGTTCAAGGGAACCATTTCCTCTGCTGCCCCTTCAACTTCCGCTGACCACTTACTTCAGTGGTCTGTAATCTGTCCGAGGAACTCAGCCATTTCTCCCTGCTGTCTGACACCAGTTTCCTTTCCATCCAACTGGTCACACACACCTATCGGCATCAGGTCTCTCTCCTGCACAAACCTCTTCAAGTCTCTCATACAAGATCCAGTTCAAATTCCAAAACCCTCTCTGCACCCCCAGTCTACTCCAAGCCAACATCCAGATCCTATTTCTCCTACACAGGCCCCTCTGCAGCTCAGTACACTCATCGCTTACTGCTTGTAATCACTCTTGGCAACTCCCTGCCATAATTTGGCTTTTAAGAATCTCTGTACCTGTAGGGTCTCTGTCTGTGGAAACCTCCCATCCGCTTGGCCCAGCTGAGCCAATGTGCTGCTCTGGGTCTTCCTATCCCTGCAGTCCACCTGGCTCCTCGGGGTTCTTGAGCGCTGCAGTGATTTCTGCTATGTCTTTCTCCAGCCACTTCTTGCCCTGGCTGCTGCCCTGGATGTGCTAGCATCCTGTAAGAGATCTGCAGTTTAAATTCAGGAGCCACCTGCTTTCACAGTGAATAAAGTGATGCCTCCTCCCTCCACGCGCCTCATGTCACCAGCTTTCTGCAGAGGTTCAGCTGCCCACTGACCCGCAGAGCTGGGGATTCACTAGTCTCCACTTGTCCCTTCAGATCATCCGAGCCCACCGGTTCTGCCAAGCCCAAAAGCAGTGGAGTGACAGCTGTGTGGGCAATGCTGTGTGCCTGCGATTCTCTCTGTAAGAGAAAGCGAGAAGGGCCACAGGAAATGCTCTAGAGCAGCAGCATCTGGCAGTGCATTCAACACAAGAGAGTAACTTGGGTGCAGTATTCGAAAGAGAAATGTCAGAGTGCTACAACTGTGGCCACCCTGAAGGTTTGCTCTAGGGCTTCTGAACCCTAATTCCCTCGTCTCCTTATTCTGCCACCCCACGCTTCCACCAGCTGTGGGAAAGTTGGGTCCAGAGGGAAGCGCCCAGCTTTTTCACAGGATCTTCTTTCCAAGATCCCTCCAAACCCGGCAGTCACTCAACTTCCCTGACCATCCTAGTCAAGCGGGCCCTGTCTTGTCCTGTCCTGAACGCCCCGGTACCAGTGAACACTAGGGCATGAGGTTAGCCCGTGGCCAGAGCTTCCACCTTTTCTGGACTCGTATGGACTTCAGGCTGCTCAGTGCTGTCGCTGCCTCCGGTTTGATAGCAGCACCTGCAGGGACAACGGGCACTTGGAGGGAGGGACGACACTGGGCATGTGTCACTGGGGCCATCTTCTTAGCCCCTCCCCTGCAAAACCAAACAAAAACGGCAAACAGGAAACGCTCGTCTTTTAAAAATTACTCTATTATTATCATCAAATAGAACCACAGTATCCAAAAGGTAATTATAAATTTCTATCTCCCAACTAAACAGCCCTGCACCGACCCTCAGCCGCGGCCAAATCACTCCCCCCGCGCCAGTTGGTTTCATCCATTTTATTTTCAAGGAAATGAACAGCCCAAAGGGATCCCCAGGCCCACGTTCCCCCCTGGGGCCCCCGGGAAACAGGCAGCAGGCGACCTGGTCTCACGACCCCACGTCCTGGGGTGGAGGGACTGGAGGGGAAGGGGGCTCACAGCAGAGGGGCTCAGGCAGCGCGTGCGCGCAGGCGCGGGAGCCCCGGCAGGTGTCCGAGGGGCGTGGTCGTGC